AATAGAAACTGCATAAGAAACCAGTCCAAAGCCAGAGCTCTACGAGGGCTGTACGCCGGCAAGGGAGGCCATCGAACTTGGCCTATGAAATTACTTGCTGATCTATGATTTCTCCCGTTTTTTAAGCGCACTATGTATCGCGGCACCGTAAAAGTACCATATCTGAGATTTTCGGAAGTGCTTTCCTCCACTCTCCCCACTCCCCACCTCTCCCTTCTATCCTCCCCCACAACCACTCGACAGTAAATTTTTGGAAAATTTTGGTAGGATGATGACTGGTCGCTCGTGAAAAGAGGTCGTGCTGGAGAAGAGACCTGCTAAGAGGAATACTTCAAACACTAGAATTCCCTGTCCCAGACAAAAGCCGTAGATTGTCAATACCGTACAATGAGCACAAAAGCACGGAAAGACGTCATGAGTAGTGTTGAAAGGCGTTACTATAGCAGTAATCTAAATACATACGGAGAATTTCATGCTTCAACAGATTCCCCTCTCTCATTAGTAGTAGGATCGATGAAACAACTCTCGTCGCAACGTCGCATATCAATCATCATACAGGGTCTTCCTGCGGATAAATGAAGCGCTTGTGTGATAGTTGATGTCAATGAATGACTCTCTATAAGGGGTTTTCTCTTTTGAAAGCACATCCATGATAACCTGAGGTAGAATGACGCTCATGTATGAAGGTAGAGGGTTATGTGGCTCGCTAGTAATGAAAAGGCCGCAGTAATCGGCGGAAAAATCTCAAAAATAGGTTCTAGCCCCGCCATTGTAAAAAAGGGATGGAGAAGCGGATTTCTGGATAAGTTCTCGCCCATGATATCATCTGAGCGTATATTTTGCAACTCTTATATTTTTGCCTCAATCACGTTATTTCCACATTTCTCCAGACCATATTCTGATCACGTTTTGGAAATACCGGAAACGTTGCGAAAAGGAAAAATTGAACTGATCGGCTCGAACTGCAGAATCGAATGAATGGACTCGCCGATGCTTCACACGGGTACGGATAAGGGCAACGGGCACGATTAATTGACAAGGCGCACAGGGTAGATACGATATTGTGCAACTCGCCATGCGCTGCGTGGCGCCTTTTCCAACCACGGTTCCCGTTGTGGTGCCTAACCGAGAGCAACATGCCGACCAGGACGCCCATCGCAACCGCCCGCCCACAAATAGCCGACCAGTGCGTACTCTTATCGCTTCATTTATGAAGTACAACTGATGCGAAGAGTTGCCACATAGATATATGGATGCACGCGCAGCCGTATCTATCGAAGCGGTCGTTGGCAAGGTTCCAACGGGAAACTCGCCTTGAAATGCTTTCTGTATACTCGTCCAATGCCATGCAACAAATCTTTTTCCGCAGGTTGTCGGCTTTCAAAATCTCGCTTTCTCGTCGTTTTCCACAATGTAGCACCTCTGCTACTACATTTGAGCAAATAGCAGGTTACCGTGCCTTATTCCTTTGAATCAGTCGATACATGCCTAATCTTAGGGACTGCTCTGATTCTACCAAAACGCAAGGTACGAAGCATCGCATCCAATTCTAGCCGTATCGTAATTAGGGCAAATTAAAGGCAGTTGGAACGATGATTCGGTGCTCGGCCTAAAATGCTAGTAGGGCGCTATATAGTGGGGAAATGGCGAAAGAACGGAGTGAAACGGTCAAAATCCTGCGAAGAAAAAGCCTCCGTTCTCAGTGACTTGTAAATCGATTTCGGACGAGTTTCCCGTAGGCATCTTGCCAATATCTGGCTACGCGAAGATCACCCCGGGCCAAATGTGTACTCATATATCCATGCAGCATCACGGCCGCTTCACACCAATCCCTTCGCTTCATAACTTGCTTAGCAAATGAATCAATTAGAGCGTCTGGAACAGTCGTCCATTTGTGGGGCGGCTGAAAGGGGGCGTGTGGGACGGATGAATTGTGCGGCTTGATAGCGCCCTTATAAGGGCACCGTTTCCTATGAGAAAGGCATTATGCAGCGCCCGCACAGTGGTTCGGCCAGGAATCCGGTCTAGCCAGGGCGTTCATTAATCACTTACGCATTTTTGGAAGGTGATTTATCGCTTGCCACTGGCCGCCTGAGCGGATAGCTCATAATGAATCGATGCCTTGCTGGAAACACTTAATGTGACAAACACTGAATTCAATTTACTGTCGAGAGCAGGACACAGTCATTGTTGAGGGATTTTTAGTCGAGTCTGCTTACAACCCACTTCCTCGTTTGGGGAGGTATGGATACGACTCTCCCCCCCCCCCTTGTTCCCCCGTTTCGCCCTCTGATCCCTCCTCATCGGAATCCGAGGCGTCGAGGGGGAGGGGGGTAAAGGGGTAGCCACATGTAGCCACATGTGAAGAAGGAAAATAAGCCGCGCAGACCGAGACAATACGACCCCCCCCCCCCCTTCCAACAATGACCAAGTAAGCCCCCCACCCTTTACAACGTCCGTGAGGCGAGAAAAATCAACTATCAAAATGAATTTTCCCCAGCCCATATACGGACCCCCGTCCTTTCTCCTGGCGCGGGCCAAATACGACCCCCCCCCTTTGGGGAGTCCCCAATAACGATGTGCCCTGTGTCAGAGAGTTGCAAGATAAGGGCGTCAAGGCACAGGGTTGCTCGAGTGACTCCAACTGAGCGCAAGTTACTTCCGCCCTTCATTGATATCTGTTGTTTCGTTTGTTTCTGTTTCCTCTCACCCAAAATCTCAGCGAATCTTCGCCTCGCGCCTACAGTCAACTTCAACAATAACGGTCTCATTTCAAGATCAGTTTGTCAAAAAAACTTCTGTCTTCAGACACCGCCAGTTCAAGGGTGTGAAAAGTGCACTTCACCAGCCGCGCTGCCACGTCATTACGTCATTAGGGGAGGAGTCATCGGAAGACGCGGGACTATCCAGATGAGAGTTCCATCAAGGAACCCTCGAGGGTCGTAAGTGACAGAAGCCGTGTAACCGGGAGAACCCACTCCACAGCGCCACTGCAGGGCTTGGGATTCCACTCTGGACCGAAGCTTACGATTTCGACAACCATATTTGCCTCAGCTCAACCAATGACATTTTATTGGCTACGTATAACAGTTAAAGCTCTAAATTCGGAAAATGTTAATGACTTATACGTTCTAAAAAATGATGTGATTCACAATGATCACTTTTTCTTTTTCCCTTTTTTCTTCGTCTTGTTCGAACCAGCAGGTTTGGCCGCCGTTTTTTTCTCTGCTTTCTCTTTAATAACAGCGAGCCTCTTCGTGGTTTCTTTGCCTTTCTTCCCAACTTTAGCCGACTTTTTGCTTTTTTTGTCCGAAGTCCCTTTTACTATTTCACTCTTGGCTTTTTGCGTGGTGCTCGTTTTCGGTGAAGGTGCTTTATTCAGCGATATGGCTAGTCTGACAGGAGTTGGAGCTGAAGGTGTTTCGAGAAGTTCTTTCGCTGACTCTGAAGGCTTAGGCTCAGCAACCATTTGCTCCGCTTTCGGCCGCTCAAGGGCCACTCGCTTTACGTTATTTGTTTTGTTGTTCTTTTCGCGCTCTTTTCTTGCTGATTTGGCCTTGTTAACCTGGCTGAGCAGATCGCCAAGTGAACCTGCTTTGAGATCGCCCCCCTTCTGTGCCATCATATCAAACGTCACTGGTGCTATGATCGAACTGTATTCAATCAAGTCCGGTTGAGTTTCTTGCAATTCCTTGAAAAGGTCCCACATATCCTCCGGTTCTTTCTTCTTAGCCTTTGGTTGACTTTCTTCCTCTTCCTTTTTCTTCTCTTCCTCCTTCTTTTCCTCTTTTTCTCGAGGTTTTTCAACCTTTACCTCTTCAGCCTCCTTCTTCTTTGCCACAACGATCTCCTTTAGCTTCTCCTTTCCCTTTATGGGCTCTTTCGAAACCACTGTGACGCCCATCGCGTCTACCTCAATGTCACCAGCTTCTTCCCATATTTTGCCCCCTAGTTCTGGATTATCGTCATCATCTGCCTGGGTTGGGCGTACTTCGAGGTGATCATCATCTAAGCAAGTCTGAATTGGTAGCATTCATTGGTTTTATTTCACGACATATTCCGCGACAAGCGGATGGGCGGAGGAGGAGAGAAAGACCGTATAGCTGTGCTTGCTCACTGGTGCATTCCTCCTCTTTCTCCGTGATGAGGGTCGCACCGAAAAAGGGGCAGGCCATTAAGAACGACACAATCGTTGTGTGTCTCCGCCCACTCCTCCGTCAATCCGGCTTATCGCTGATGCGTCTTTAAGTCTAAAAGACTCAACAATGAAATAATATTATTACCGCGAGCTTTAATGAAGGTGGAGGCTTTTCTTTCGACTCCTATAAGAGTAAGCATCATGAAAGGAAAGTTGCATTCCTTGGGATGCGCCACGCATCCTACCTAACATCGATATCCCTCATTTACCTTCGGAAGTTCTTGCGAAGATTTCGTCGACTGCACTTCAGATTCGTCACCAGCGGCGCCTTTACTTTTACAACCGATCGAAAGGTGAATGATCATTAGGATGAGTAGAAGGCAGATTACGTCAATCATTGAGATCTTCCATCAATCTCGCGCAATCAACAGCGTTTTCACCTAAAACTGTCCAGTTGAAGGTATTTCGTTGAAGCACGTGACTCAAGACGCCCACTGGCACCTGAACATTAAGATACGTATTGATTTTACGCGCTTTCACGCCCTCCTTACACGGATCAGCTGAGCAGGTGATTTGGGATGTAAACAGCAGCAGATTAAGCGTTACATGGCTTATCCAATAAGTCCGTCAGTGCGACGTACGCGACGCGCTCGCCTTCTGCAGATACTGGTAAGAATACTCTCTCATGATCACCCGCAACGCAGTGTGCTTCGGCTCCTTTTCGCGCTTCGTGTTGTGTGCGAATTCGCACACGCGGCAAGGCTGCAGTCACTGCGAGTCGTGCGCACCGCGCGCTCGTGCATGGTGCCTATGCCAATCAATGTGAGCAAAGACAATCGTAATATGCTGCGCTGGTGGGCGTGGCGAGCGACGCCGAGCGCGACGGACGAGTTTTCTGCATAGTCATTTGAATCTGAATGTCAATGGAAGGCGCCAAGTCGATATCGCACATCATGAGATCTTTGGTTCCGATTGAAATCACCTGTATCGCTGTTCCAATCGACAAACCGATACACAATGAAAATTCGCCGCGCATCGCCGCGCGATACGTTGCGCGCGATGCCGCGGCGAATCACGATTGTTTGTCCTTCTCCGAATGCGACTCCAATCTTCGGTAGCAAAAAGAGATTGTGGTATGGTCATACTCGGCGATGACAGCGGGATAGTTGGAGCGAGAGAGGACGAGGAGAAAGAACTATGGGCTCATGCATTTTGTGTCGCGCACGGCGAACGACTACTCTACGCGAATGATTTCTGCACATCATATTCCCCCCCCCCGCCATATGGAGAAAACAAGCACATCGCCGCGTCGCCGCGCGCAGCATATCGTACGACGGCGTGCGGCAAATTGTCGATGTGCATCAGCTTCCTGATTGGAGCAGTGAGACTCATGAAAGGAGGCGGAGCAAAATCCCATTCTGACTGATATAGGGCTCTCCCACCCCTCATTCAAAATGAAAAATTCGATCAGGAGCATCCGTCACAGAGCCGTGCGCCCAAAAAAAGCGGCGTCCTCGCCACGCCCACCGCGGCATAGCAAAACCATCCTGTCACATTCTTCCGCCCCCATTGTTCTACGCAATCAATATTGATTGGTTTCTTGTCAACCCGCTCCCGCGGTCAGTTTGCGTAAGGGGTGGGAACCTACACATCCATACGCTAACGCCTGGCCAATGACAGAGCAGTAGAGAACCCTGTTGCCGACTCAGGGTTATCAATTCGGCCTCTTCATGAATCGGGACGCTGAATGTGACGTCGTGAACCGCAATGCGCACGCGCGCGCAGCACAGCAGCGTTATCCTATGGGCTGAGTCCGTGGCTTAGCTTTCCCGAAGGTTGCTAGCGTTCCTGTGATATGGAAGGCGCACTACGGAATGCCGCTCGGTTAGCTCAGCTCCTGAGGAGAGTAAAAGGTTAACTCACCGAGATGTACTAACTGGAATGACAAAGTGAACCTCACCCAGCAATCACATAAAAAACAAGTTGTTATCATTCCGATGAACAACTATCACCAAGGACACCTCACTATTGCCAGCTTAAGGCCTACGGTCGACGGCTTTCTACAATTGACGCCCATCATTCGAAATTAGGGTGGGTTCTAAGAAGGCGAGTGAAGGGCAGCGAGTTCACTTTTGTCTGAGGCAGCGTATCGATATTTACGTGGTGCACTGTAAGCGAAGAACCCCATTAGTCGGACCGATTCGGTGATTTACACTCTGGACGTAATGCCCTTTTGTCTAGGTACTCTAACTCCGAGCTAGGAAAATGACGTGTAATCCAATTACACCCCCCTAAGGACCAGGCGGCGGCCAAGACAAGACATTGAAAGTTCGGACCTCTGAGCGATTCTTGCCCGGTATCGAAAGGTATGATGTAGGATAGTTATCGATTGGTGGACGTCCAGCCGAGGCGATACCGAAAGCGCGCAATCAATACCTATCCTTTCAATGTGTGGAAACAGCGTGTCTGCTGAATCCTGTACAGGTTTTCAGGATGTTATCGGCATTAGCAGCAGATGTGGGCCTGGTGTATTTAATAGTGAATGGTATTCTTGTCCTGATGATGCTTCTTATCGCCACTGGAACCAGTTTCGGTTGTGGAAAGAAAGGCGATGAAGAAGGAGAAGAAGAAGGGGGAGGTGATAGCGGCGGATCTCCTAGCCCAGTGGTGAGTTTTTCTCTTTACAGACTGCATTTCACGCCGCCCTTCTTCCGAAATCATGGATCAGATGCGCATTGATCGACAAAGGTAACCGCCACTTTGCGTCACGCACCGCCAGTAGTAATCGATATGCATGAAAAGCGCGGCGCCCGAGTTGCTCTGCGCTGTCGCGAAGTCTGAACCCTTTGCATGGGATGCCTCATCGTGACGATCTCTCTGGGCTTCTCTCTGGTTATATACGAGCTCACTGTTCGAGGCTTCCACTCTTATGACCAGTCTCTAGCGTGCGTGGTTTAGAATGAACCTATCTAGCGCAAAATTGATATAATCGGTAAAATCGATATATCGATTATCATATACCTATGTTTACGAGGCGGTCTGGAGCTAGGGAAGAGATGGACACTCAGCCATGCAAGTGAAGCTGCTCGCCTGCGTCTCGCATCGAAACAGTGATTGTTTCCTTCCCTGAGAAGGAAGCAAGGACCATCAGAGCCGTCGTGCCCCCCCCCTTTTTGGTTCCCAAGAATGTTAATGTTTCAAGCAATCACTAGTCCAGAGTAACTCGTATTCTTTCAGGAAGGACAACAGCCACCGGTGAGATTAACTGGCCTGTCCTGCTTCAGATTGCAGTGAGAAGGATCTTGTTCCGTTGCTTCCAGTCGCGACTAATGCTCTGCTTCCGCCTTCGCATGACCACCCGAAAATGGGTATTAATTTTACGCGCTCTCAATCGATATTTTCGCAAGGGTATGTTATAAAGGGCAAAGTAAAGGCAGCATGCTCCTGGCGTTGTCACGGTCATTACCAGAAACAACAGAGTTGAACAGTTCTGGCTGGCTTACAACGGAATAAGACCACTCATGACAATTTTTCGTACCAGATGAATGAACGAGCAATAGTAGCCTGTTTTCAGGGAGCAAGTGAAAGCCTCACCCCATCTGAAATCAAAGCTCAAGAGCCGTCACCGGGTGGGACACCTGAAGCAGAACCCGCTCCTCCACCACCACCTCCCCCTGCCCCTGACGTAGGTGCACCCCCTCCACCACCACCATTTGCCGAGCCACCTCCTCCTCCACCTTATGTTCCTCCACCTCCTCCACCGCCACCTCCTCCACCTCCACCTTTTGTTGAACCACCTCCTCCTCCACCATTCATCCCTGAAGCCTCCTCCGCCTCCACCTTTTCAAGAACCACCTCCTCCACCGGATTATCATCCAGGTGAGTATGCTGGCCAATTTTTCCTTATTAGTATTATCAAAAGCTCTGCTCAGGGTCCTAGTTAAGGGAGGTCTGCAAGTCAATGTGGAAAAAGTCACTTAGTACACCAGAGTTGCCGCGTTCATTTCACGACACGAGATCGCTTAATCATTTGAAACCCATTTTAAGGTGAAGACGGCTGATCGGTATGGAGCCAAACATCCATCTCGCTGTTCTGCTTCGCCCTCACCGCTGCCTTCCAGCAGTGGAAGAGGGTTGGGCGGAAAGGCAGCAATGCGTTGGGCCGTATCACATTAGCGCGCCTAATCACAAGGAACATTTTGAAGTATGCAGTTTCGCTGCGGATTGATGTGCGGCGTGGCTGCCGCGGCCGCTTTCGACGCCCCCTAAACTAATTCTCTCCAATTCTCTACCAGTTGTTGAAGCGGGTAAGTATTTACAGCTGGTGGAGAATGCCTGATACTAACGGATACGACACAGTCATATCGTTTGCCGCGAACGTGGGAAGGGAAGGGCGGGGGGCTTCGCCCTTTGTGCTTCACTAGTTCTGGTTTTAGACTACGCACTCTTGAGGTCACAACCACATTGTGAACTTTCTGCTAAAGCTGCAGCAAACCTCACCTGAGTAGCGGTTGGCGCGCTGCCGGCCATGCCCCAGCATCCGAACGCGAACCAAACTGTCAGTGTTAGGTTGACGTGTCAATACAAGTCACTAAGGTGTTATGTGACGTCAATGGCACGCCATCTATCTCTTAGCGGTAACTGAACCGCTGACCTGTGCTAGACCAGCGCCTCATTGCGCACCGCTCTGTGTGGGCATCCTATCTATAGTCCATATCTCGACGCTCAGAATGGGCGTGTTCCTAGACTCAGTTGAAACACGGCGACGACTGCCACCTCTGAGATGTTGCCCAGTTCAAGGCAGAGAGGTAAATAGCGGGTGCATAAGAGAGCGTGTATCTTGCAATCTAGCTGTTTATTATGGCAGTCCTGCCGTAGGAGAAAAACTTAACAGTATAGGATCACCCCATCACGGGTTGCCTTCCTCGGCGTATGATTCCCCCCCCCCCCCTTCCGCTCCGCCTTTTTATCCGTACCTAACATCTTCCCTAAATTTCCACTATTTCTCTTCGGTTTTCTAGACAAAGAAAAAGATATGAAGATTTTCAATAACCGGCAAAACATTTGTCCAGCAAAGACAATGCGACCACCCTCCTTGCATGCGACCAAATACGACCTCTCCTGTCGGCTGCGGCGTTGCGGCCAAATTAGGATTTGTGTCGATTTCTAAGGCAACAAGATTCCAGGGATTGCGGGTACCTTAACACTGGGAACCAATTCCACGGGCACGCCCTTCACAGGCGTCTCCAGTTGTGAAGTGCGGTCAGAAACATTTGCCCATTAGTTCATGAGTCCATTTCCCTAAGAAAGTTAAATGTACGGAGCAGTCCAGAAAGCCGGATCGTATCGTGTCGGAGCTTGGGATATCATTCACTACCAAAGCATAGAATGTGCAGAATACACATGTTTTTTAGGTGGGGCAAAGAAGGAGCCTGAAAAATTACCCGGAGTGGATAGCCTGGTGAAAAAGATCGTTGGAGCATTGAAGGAAGATGTGAAGAAGAAGGTAAAAGAACCGCCACCTGCGCCTAAGAAGCCAGCTCTCAAGGCCTCAGCATCACCGAAAAAGAAGTCAAAACAGAAAGAATAGCAAAAGACAGAAGAGCTCAACTCCGAAGAAGAAAGCCGCCAAGGGCAAAACACCCAAAAAGAGATGATGACATTTGGTTTTTTGTGTGGACGCGATACTGCTGGTTCTGTATTGTGCTAGTTTTCTTCGACATGTCTACAATTAATATTAGAAAAAATAAACCCATAAAAAAGGAGCAGAGTGTAATTAACGAGGAACAGAGAGGAGGACAAGTTCAAATGACTCTCTAACGCAGTTCGGCCTGGTGGGGGCATTTTGCTGGTTCACATCGATCATTGCCGGTTACCGTAAAGAAGTGTAAGTCCGTGGAAAGCAATGCAATAGTACGAACTTCGCTATATTTGACAAAACTCTACTGGTCCACCAAGGCGAGACGTGTATGTAAGTTGACAGGGACTGCCAAGGGAAGCTAGCGGAAATGCAAAATGTCCCCCGTCCCTACCCTCCCGAAGCCAGTCAGCGGTGACTATCATCTACTAAGAAATGGCAACTAATTGAAAAACCGGGATTCCAGGAACCAGGCAAGAATTTGTCCCAACATTTGAGCATTGCTCATGAGTGTCAACTACCTCAGATGTTTGATAAGGAAATGAGGGCAGGTTCTACCGCCGAAGAAAACTTGTGACTGCTGCTTCTCCCTAGCCATTTATTTCTCTGAGACGATCCCCCGCCCGTTCTACCTACTTCTTCCATCTTGAGAAAACTTCGTACGTCTTCTCCGCAGTAATTCTTCGGTTATTCGCCCACAAAACTGCCGTCGATAGGCGGGAAGGGGGAATATATAGCACACGTAGCACTACTGAAACAGGAAAAACCACGAAACGTCAACAACCAGCTGGACAAATTTCCTTCCGAGTCCACAACTGCGAGAGGCAAAACAACGAAAAGACCCCCTTCAGCGACCAAATACAACTCCCCTCGTTGGGGATCCCCAGCGTACGAAGGTCCCTTGAGGAAATACTTGAAAATACGTGAGTAAATGAGAAGAACACTGGAAATATGATAGTGTGAGTCATGGGAAATACAGATGAGAGACGTTGTGTAGAGAAATGCGGTCGATAGAACGAAGAAAGAAGCAAATCAATTAGATCATTGTTGAATCGGGTTTGAGGAACGGGAGAGATCATCTTCAGCTATCGAAATCTTCTTGAAACAGCCGAATAGGCACATTCAGTCATTCCGAGGGACAAAGACGAGGCTGTAACAAGTATGAAATGGTCCAGGAGCAGGCTGATGCGGGAGGATAAGCTATGGCATGTCGGAGGTCTCCGTGCGGGTCAAAAACAGTCTCAAAATCCTTTGGCATTATAATTTGTTGTGAATAGAATTAGTGTGGAAGGTCTGGAGAATAAGGAATTATTGACAAGTTCAAATGAACATGATGAGGTTCGCTGCAGATGAATGGGCGTGTCATTGAGGCTAGCCCGTTTTCTACCAGTTGCGGGTAAGCAACAACACGGTGGCTACTAACAATGCATATGTACTGTTTCAATACTGTCCGCGACAAA